CTGGTGCGACATTATGCATCACATTTGTGCCCAAGAATCTGCAGATTTCCTGACTTGCTTGACACATCTGTATAGTGAACGCTATCCTTCTACTTTGTATATTAGCGTACGACCTATAGGACTATTTATCGCCCTCATTATTAGCGATATATTGCCTCGGGTCTATGTATCAAAATACCTTCGAGATAAAATTTCACCAGTTTGCAAAGAAATGAGGCATCGGGCAAATTCAAATAGTTGATTGCCCAACAGAAAAATCGGCTACTTGATCACAGTGGTCAATATTAAAGGATAAGTATAAAGGAAATATATTGAAAAGCGTAACTTGGCCGCTACCCTAAATTCAAAACACAATAGATGCACTAATTATCATTATAAAACATCGTTTAGGTGTAGGTAGGACATAGTTGAAATAATTGTGTGCCTCTTTGAAGATCTACAATTTTGTCAAGCATGATCCTTGGACGAAATTATACGTATCTCCCTTTATTTTTATTTTTTTTTAGATTAAACATTTATTGAAGAGGAACTCTTCGATGGCTTTACATTACACTCTGAGCATGAAAGAACAACGATCAGAGATTTTTTATGGATAATAATCAATATACGCTCTGTCGAAGAAAAGTTACCTAGAGGGATCTAGAAATTGCTACTCTAAGATTCAAGTTTATATCGCGGAAAAGCTATGTGCGTTTTAAAGAGCCATTGTCCTAGGATTGTGTTTTAGACTCAATGAAGTCTGTATCGGTTATGACATCACATGGCGTCACTGCTGGCTGGACCTGCCACCTGGGTTCGGCTATAAAAGGGCCTGCACGATGGCAGAATAAACAGAATGTATCTCGCGACTGGTGTGATCACTGCTTGCGCTCGAGACATGGCGCAGTCGGCAGGATCTTGGAACAATTAGGCTTAGCGCTTCCAACGACCGAAATGGATACGCTGAAACCTCCCGAGCCACTGCGACTCTCGGGCAACCTCGAGCAGAACTGGATCAAGTTCAAGCAAAGGCTGGAGTGGTACCTGAAACCCACGGGTTTTGCGAAGAAGGAAGACGAAAAGGCGGCCTTGCTACTCCATGTCGCCGGAGAAGAAGCGATCGAGGTCTACAACAACTTCGTATTTCTCGACGGAGAGGAAAAAGAATCGTACACGACCTTGGTGCAGAAGTTTGAAGCCTACTGCATTCCACGGATGAATGAGATCTACGAGCGGTATGTCTTCAGAGTCACGCAGCAACAAGAAGGTGAGCCTTTTGAACAGTTCCTTCGAGGCTTAAGGACCAAAGTCCAGTCATGCAATTTCGGAAGCATTACAGATTCGATGCTGCGGGACCAAATTGTTTTTGGAATTTCTGAAAAAAAATTACGAACAAAGCTCCTACGGGAAGCTGACCTCACGCTTGATAAAGCGATACGAATAAGCCAAGCTGCAGAAGTTTCAGAAAAACAGAATCAAGCCTGGGAAAGAGACGAGAAGCAGGCCGATGCAGTCAGAAGGACAAATGCGGGACAGATGCGGAACAAGTCGAGGAACCGCTGTGGTCGTTGCAATTTTGTTCACGACTTTCAACGGTGTCCCGCCTCAGGGAAAACCTGCCACAACTGCGGAAAAAGCAATCATTTTGCTGCGTGCTGTCTGGCGGGTCGGCAAGTGGCAGAGACGCAGAACTGCTGTGTAAGCAAGAACAGCAACTGTGAATACAGCAGACAGCTGTCTGAGAATGATGACTTTGATATTCTAAATGTTGGCGTCAAGAGTTCACAAAGTCAGGCGGACTGGATCGTACGCGCTTCAATCGCGGGAGGAGGGCAAATCATGCTCAAAGTGGATACGGGGTCTCAGGCAAACTTGCTGCCTTATTCACTGTACGCTAAGCAGCACAAAGCACCAGAGTTAAAGCCCAATCGAGCTGCACTTCGTAGTTACGATGGCGGACTGATAAAACACTTCGGCATGACGAGACTTCGGCTCAAGATCAACGGAAAAGAAGCGTACGTCGATTTCTTCGTTGTGAAGAATGGTCGCCAGCCACTTCTGGAACTAGAGGCAAGTGAGGTGTTTGGACTGGTGTCGCGCTTATGTACCGTCCACGCAAGACCATCTATTGCAGACGAGTTTTCCAGAGTTTTTAAGGGAACAGGATGTGTGAAGCGCCATTACCACATGGTTCTTCGGGAAGATGCCCAGCCATCCGTGCAGCCTGCTCGACGAGTGCCCCTGGCGCTAAGGGAGCCCCTCCGCACTGAACTCCGACGGATGGAAAAAGCAGGAATCATCCAGCGAGTCGACGAACCAACTGACTGGGTGAGTCCTCTCGTAATTGTTAAGAAAAAAGATGGAAGTCTACGCGTATGCATGGACCCCGGAAGGGTAAATGAAAGCATTAAACGCGAGCACTATCAGCTGCCTCGCAGAGAAGACATAGAGGCAGAACTAGCAGGAGCGAAGTTCTTTACAACATTAGATGCCAAAGCAGGTTTTCATCAGATCCCCCTGGACGAAGAAACATCAAAAATTTGCACGTTCGCTACACCATTTGGCAGATACCGCTACTTGCGCCTTGCTTTTGGTATCTCATCGGCACCCGAAGTATTTCAAAAAACACTAAGCGAAATTTTTGAGGGACTCCAAGGAGTGCATGTGTATATTGATGATCTTTTGATTTGGGGCCGCACCCAAGAGGAGCACGACATTCGATTAAGGACGACCTTGGAAGTAGCCCAGCTTGCCGGGCTAACGTTCAGCGCAGAAAAATGCAAAATTTCCCAAACAGAAGTCACTTATCTGGGCGACGTGATCAGCTCCGAGGGCATCAAGCCCAGCCCTGCGTTAATCAGCAGTTTGTTGGACATGCCGGCGCCTGAAGACAAGAAAGCGGTCCAGCGTCTCTTAGGCATGATTAATTACTTCAGCAAATACTTACCACACGTAGCAGAAAATACAAAAGTACTCAGAGAGCTGACAAGACAGGATGTTATATTTGAATGGCTTCCAAGTCACCAAAAACAATTTGAAGAACTGAAAGAATCCCTATCACAACATCCCCAATTGGCCATTTTTGACCCAATAAAGCCCACCAAGGTGTCTTCGGATGCATCCAGATTTGGAATAGGTTCGGTGCTGCTTCAGTGTCATGGTAAAGAGTGGCGACCAATTGCCTACGCTTCCCGAGTTCTGACAGATGCCGAGTCCCGATATTCACAGATTGAAAAAGACACCCTTGCCCTAACCTTTGGTTGCGAGAAATTTCACCCGTTTGTTTATGGCATCAAGTTTACAGCCGAAACTGATCATAAGCCGCTCATTCAGATCGCCAGCAAGGCGTTGTTGGAGATACCACCCAGACTTGAACGTTTTTTTCTTCGCCTGCTAAGATACGACTTCAATCTCCAGTTTGTTCCAGGAAAGGAGCTGATATTGGCCGATACGCTGTCCAGAGCCCCCAAAACAACAAGCAACGAGGATGCTTCGGACGATGTGGAGATACATGCCACCAATATACTCTTCGACAGAGTGTCGCTAACGACCGTCAAGAGGCTGCAGGAAGCGACTGCACAAGATCCTGTACTGCAGAAGGTGGTTACAGCAGTCACTAACAACAAAACGATCGATTGCGTTTTTCGACACATGACACCAGAGCTGTCTGTTCTTAAAAGCATTGTGTTTAAAGGAGAACGAGTAGTCGTTCCTCGGTCGATGCGATCTGAAATGTTAAAGCGCATTCATGATGGTCACCAAGGAATTTCTAAATGCAAAGCCAAAGCTCGTCGCCTTGTTTTTTGGCCCGGCCTAAATGCGGACATAGAGCCTATGGTCGGTAGATGTAGCATCTGTCGGCGACATGCTTATTCTCAACCTAGTGAGCCACTGCTAATGCGTGAGACTCCTTCTAATCCCTGGACGCGGGTTGGCGTAGACCTATTTGAATACGCAGGCAAGGCATATTTGGTTACGTATGACGCACACTCAAACTTCCTCGGAGTTGAGCCACTTGATGACACTACAGCGCGAACCGTGGTTCAGAAATTAAGTGCCACATTTGCGAGGCATGGTCTACCCATCGAAGTGTGCTCAGATAATGGTCCACAATTCTCGTCAAAAGAATTTAAGATGTTTTCTGCTCTCTATGATTTCCAGCATACAACATCAAGTCCTCTGTTCCCACGTTCAAACGGGCTGGCCGAAAAAGGCGTCCAAATAGCAAAGCGTATTCTGAAGAAAACCACCGAAGGGGAAGAAGACTTCTGGCTGGGTGTCCTTAATTATCGAACAACTCCACTAGAAGATGGCCGGACTCCGGGGGAGCTCCTCATGGGTCGAAGGCTGCGATCCCGCGTGCCAGACTTCTCTCGGACGCCAGGAGCGCAAGTGCGGAAGCACAAACAAAATGATGGAGGGCATTGTCTGCGTGCTCTCCGGCCAGGTAATATTGTCAGAGTGTCATCTCCGACTGGCTGGATCGTTAAAGCGAAAGTACTCCGTCAAGTTGCGCCGAGGTCCTATGACGTTATCTCAGAAGACAACCGCGTATTTCGTAGAAACAGGCAGCATCTGAAACAAACTCAAGAATCCTTCTGCCTACACGGCGACAGTGACGACGACGAAGATGACGGACACCCTTTGTACCAGGCACCCGAGTCAACAACACTTACATCACCGCCACTGCCAACCCCAACCAGCCAAACAACTGCCTCGAGCTATCCCAACCCACACCATGGACACGTCCATGGACAATTCCGCAGGTCAGAAAGACGGCGTCACCCCCCGACAAGGCTGAGTTACGACGAAAACTTCCATCAAGAACTCATGAATTCCGTCTCAAGAGGGAAGATGTATCGGTTATGACATCACATGACGTCACTGCTGGCTGGACCTGCCACCTGGGTTCGGCTATAAAAGGGCCTGCACGATGGCAGATTAAACAGAATGTATCTCGCGACTGGTGTGATCACTGCTTGCGCTCCAGACAAAGTCTACGATACAATAAAAACGCTTACCGATATGAGAAGCTGCTTCGGACCTGTGTTTCTTCGGGGTCATCCGTCAAGAAACCTTGATAACGTTCCCGGAGGTATTTGCCGACGTTCCGCATGGTTTGTATACCCCGATCGGTGAGATTCCCATAGCCGTATTTCCAGTACGTGCTGTTCGGGTTCAGGTCAGTCGGAAATGTCCCCAGTGGTGCTCTGTCACCGTGACGTAGAATACCAATCACGACGTCTAAGTCTCGAGGTACAAACTCATTTTGATCAGCGTCAATGCAGACGTGCGATGATGACACCACAAGAAGACAAAAGGCTTGCATCAACGGATGGACCATGCTGCTTTTCTGATTCTGAAAAAAAGAAATGTATTCCATTATTTACGATTTAGGCAACACAAATTGCCCTCGTAAATTTTTTTAACGCATGAATTAAGATTATAATCCCTGGAGGAGGGGGAACAAAGCAGACTAACGACAAACACAAATCTCCAAACACAGTTAGGTGACTCGTGCACGACCGAAGAAATCCGCCTGGTCCTGATATCGAACCAAGGACCTCTGTATTTCCAGTGGAACGCTCTACCAACTGAACAAACCAAGAGTTACACCTCGGTATAGCAAACAGGTTTTATCAGCTGCCACCAACTCCTGGTTAGCTCAGTTGGTAGAGCGCTCCACTGGAAACGAAGAGGTCCCTGGTTTGATATGAGTACCAGGCGGATTTTTTCGGTCACGCACCAGTCACCTAGCTGAGTTTAGAGATTTGTGTTGGTTCTTTGTCCCCTTTGTTCCCCTCCTCCGGGGATTATTATTGTCATTCTTGTTCAGCTCTCTTGCACCTTTGAATTAATTGCATTATAAATGTGAATTAACCTTACAAGAAGGTGTTATAACTGTGTAGCGGAATTGCTTCAACATAGGTGGTACTAAAACAGCCATACGTCGAGATTAATTTAAAATCTGAAAAGTTACAATAAATACATTGTTCTGGTCTTTTGTTATTTATTTTTCATCGTGCTGGGTACAGGCTTGTAGGGTTTATATTTACACTAAAACAATTATTACTTACATTGTACAGCCCATCTTCACTAGGTGCGATTTTACTTGCGATTTCGCAGTTGCGACGTCGCTCGGGTGGAGCAAGCGCGGTGGAGGCTGAGGTGCTCAAGGCCGCAGCTGCGAAATCGCAGGGAAAATCGCACCATGTGAATCAGGCTTATAGTAGTAGTAGTAGTACGGTCCTTTTTAGAGTTAGATTGTCACGCCACGCAACTATATAAAATAAAAGTTTTCCGAATAGTAAATTCTCAGCTCGGACCAAATTCGCATGTAATATATAGCGCCGAATATTTGCCAAAAAGTAGAATATGTAATTGAATAATCAATACCAAACTTTTATCGGCAATGAAAAGACACTAAACAAGCAACGATTAGACCGAGGGTTTCCAAAGATCTCCAAAGACCGAGGGTTTCCAAAGCTAAGGGGCCGAACTGAGGATCGGTCACTGTCTCCAGGGCGGGAAAATAAATAAGAGAATGTAAACTAGAAAATAAACTTAATATATGGCTAAGCATAATATTTGAAACCAGAGACCGTCGTTGAAAAACGAAAAACGCTCAGGGGAGAATAACAAGTGGGCGGACAGATATGTTTTTTGTTATTCCTGGTGTCTTCGTATGCACCTCCAATGACAGTTTTTTGTTTGCTTTTTTTCTCTGTATACAGCTCCATATGACAGTTCATGTTCTTTCTGGTATTTTCGTGATTTAGTGCGGTGCGCGTCGCGGCGCCGTTCCTTTGTGCGTGCTTATTTCTGCGCCGGTAGCAGAGGGCCTGCTGGAGGCGGGCAGGGGCTCTGACCTGGACGATCGGCGGGCAAGTAGGCGAAATCGCGGACCGCTGCGATAGACCAGCGCTTGACCTTGGCGCTGGCCAATCGCGGTGGTCAGCCCTCTCGCCGGCTCTCTCGCCGAATGTCCAACTCAGAGCCCCAGGGCATCCCCGGAACAAACGAAAACAAACTCCTTCTTTTAAAAAAGTATTCACTAAGTCAATACTTCTTAAAGCAGGCTTGCTTTAGATAAAGCCTAGACAAGCGAGAACCGTCACCATAGGAACAACATGATTAAATTAACCCGATTTTTGTTCATCGGCATTCGACGTGCCAAACTATTCGATAATTTGGATGCTGTAAATTAAAAAAAAAATCGAATTAAATTATTTGCGCACTCACTATCTGATTAAATTTTTAAACTCAAATATTCGCAAACAACTAATTCAAAGGTGTCGAAAACAATCTCTAAATATTATTTTTTACCAATTATTTCTCGCTTGACAACTTGAATGTATCCGACCGTCTATAACTACACCGCTTTTTGACATCATAATATATATCATCCAATTGAATGAAAAACTGTGAAGCAAACCGGAATTTTCGAGATTATTTAAATATTCATTACGCTATGATCAATGTGTTGAAAGACACGAAATTCTCGCGAGGTTCTTCCAGCACAATACTATCTTCAGCAAAGTCCATCTGGTGGGAGGTGTGAGGGGCTCTTGTACAAAAGCACTTAACGCACAAAAAAATGGTTGATTAGTGTTTCGATATTCTACAAACCAAACGCCGCTACCTTGTGACACACGTCTGTGATGCATCCGCTGAATATGTTTTGTTAGTTCACTGTATCTAAATGCAATGCTAAAAGAAATTTCTTTTCTTTTAAGACGCGTTGAAAATTTATCGTCGCTCATAACTAAAGATTCGACACTTGGAGCAGATCTTGCGCTATATTTTTACGTTTAGTTTGTGACAGTTCACCTACCCAGGTACTTAATAGCAAAAATATATTAGGTTTTCTCTGCCTCTCTAAGAGTCATATGAGTCCTACAAAGAGGCTACTGGTTCTCTTGCACTATGCGAGTCTGTGTATGAAAAAGATTTAGGGCTCTGTAACCCTTCCCCCCTCACCCAGGCCTTCGCAGGTAAACCAGACGTATTTCCTCCCTGTATGTTTTCCGGCATGTCAGTCATAAGTCATTTATTTTTAGAGATCATCAACCAAGTTCTTCTTGGCGTGCCGCACCTTTCTAGGTATATTCGTTAAGTTGTCACTTGCAAATTAAAAAACAATTTTGTAGTTAACGGGTGTTAGCCCGTCAAAATGAATTATGGTACCGTTTAAACAAATTCTTGGGCCGTGAGCGTCAATCATTCGTTTTTTCATTACTAACTTCAACGAGAAGAATGTTGTCATTCTTTAACTTCTAAAGCGCCTAAAAAACGAGGACACGAGGAAGACGAGATAGGACCAAGCGCTAGCTTACAACAGAACGTTTATTGAAAGACTAATTACTATGTGCACACAAATTCAGGCTTCCGACACAAAATGGCAAACTCTTTCTCAGTTAAGTGCACTGATAGTGCACTTACGCAGTTATCCTCGCCCTTTACTATAGAGTATTAGGCCTCAAACAATTTTCTCTCAGCTGTATTTTTTTTTTTTTTTTTTTTTGTTTTGCAATTATTTTTGTTTTGTCAGGATTAGGCGAGCAGGGACAGCTATCACAGTTAACTGCCAGATTACCCGATGGAAAATTTCTACCAGATAGGACATGCTCCCATGAACTGTCGTGGATGCAGCTCCCCGTTTACCCTATATACGCTTTTTCCGCAAGTCATAGGTATTTCGTAGGCAACTGACGTTGCGCATTAAATCTACTGCGCGGCGTGTTTCTTGGCGCAAGAGTCAGCTTTTTTTTCATTTTTTGTTGTTAATTCTTGAGCACACACTGGACAATTCTGACGGCGCAGAGAACACCATGGGGGTGATTTCAGATAAGATCGACCAAAGGATGGCTAGTCGACATTTTCAAATCAACTGATGTTTTTATATGTTATTGTCTAGTGTCTGGTATGAACGAATCCAAACTTAGTTTTGACTAGAAAAAATACTTGGGGACAGGAAAAATCGTAAGGCATGAGGTGGTGGACAGTTGCATTAACGCGCACTGATGGAGGGGGCCCGTTTGAGAGTGAATAACTAAAGCGATAACATTAGGAGAACTCTAATACGTTTTAGGCGCAAACTATGGGTACAGCTTGCTTGTAATATAAAGTAATCATATTTATTTAAAATTTATTTATTTTTCTAAAAATTGACAAACATGCCTGCTCGAACGACAAATGGCAAACTTTGGAGGTCTGTATCTCATGAAATAATTTAATCATTATGATATAATTTGCAGATATTATTCTACTAATATATAGCTAATATTTAAAAAATAACTAAGGTTTCTGTGTGATACAATAGTTAGGATACATTTAGTCAAACATGGAAAAAAAATCAAACAAAGACAAATTCCGATGCGAATAAACATAAGACACCACCCTCGATTTTTTTTAAATTTAGGTAATCTGTTATACTCTGTTTCGGCATTCATTTCCATTAAAAACATGTTGCATCATTTTATTGAGAAAGAAGATACAACTCCCCAAAGTAGGGTCCTTTTTCAAAGCCTACACTTAGCAGTGTTTTATACAAGAACTGACTCTGCGTTCCAGTTTCATGAAACCAACACACATCTTTTATATATTTTTATTCAGATGAGGCCAATGATAACTAAAGAAATCGTTCACACACTTAAATTAAGGAGAAACTACTGTGTACAAAGAGGTATCATATTACGGACTAGTGATCCGAGAAAAGATCATGCAGCCATCGGCCACTAGGAACTTTGTTTACTTTATTCTCCTGCGACACTATATGCTATTCCCTCTTCCGCTCTACCTTCATCTCTCTCTCTCTCTCTCTCATATATATCCCTAATATATATCCAGAACAAAAACATGTTCAAGCATTCCCTTTCTGCGTGGTAGTGTTCTGTGGCTAGCAAAAATCATTTCCTCGCTAAGCTCACGATTATGGCAAAATAGTTGCCGGAAACCGCAGACGACACTCGTCGCTAGTTCTGGCAAAACGGCCGATACAATCTTTTTTTCGCATTTCCCCGCTCGCTGTCAAGGACAAGGGGGTTCGCTTCAACCAGCAAAACATGGCCGCCGACGCCTGTTTACTGAGCAGTCATGCCTGTCGCCATCTCACTCGCTGGCGTCACGGGCGATAATATCAGGCACAAAGGGGCACACCAACCGGCAGCATTATCCCCAAATACTCGAGCCTCGTGTAAATACATAGAGTGTAAACGCTGTCGCCATGTTATCGTAGTAAGGCCGCCCCCCCCCCCCCCTCCCCTCCCCCAACGGGGGACTGCAACGGCGACGCGACGATATCGACATCGCGGGCTCCGAATTTTCCCATAGTTCTACTCCACGGGCATTTTTCGAAACGCTTGATATTGTGTACGCCCGCCTGGAAGGATTTCAGGCGCGTAGTTAAGATAAGGCGGTTCTCCGCGGCAAAAGAAAGCAATTTCACAAAAGCTTAAAAGCGGCGGCGACGCGTGTGCGGTGAACGCTTGTAGTTTTGGTGTAGACAGGGTGTGTGTGTTCTCGTTGTTGACACCAGCCGGCGATAAGGCACTGCAGGCGGTAGCTCAGTACAGCAAGGGCTAATCCGAGTGACCATCAACGTAACCCCACCGCCCACCCCTCGCGAACCGGTCGCCGACATGGCTCAGGCTGTGTCATGAACCACGTGGTAGAAGCTCAAGTGCTTTCATATCAGCGCGTGGAAGGACGACAGTGCGATTCCGGAAAGTCTTTTTCGAAGGCCGCTGACCACAATTTTTTGTCTGGAGACTTTCCCTCTTTCTTCCTTTGACGTGGATCAAGCTTTGCCGACAGCCTCAGTTGTGACTTCTCTTTTCAAATGTACGTTTGCAGTGAGTGAGCTCCTCAGCCTCGGACTTGTCACTTGTGCACCCAGTAGTTCTTTCACTTGGCAATTATATGCCATCAGTTGGGGTTTAATTTCTATTATTTATGTATACATTATGAAGACGTCCTGGAGCTCCGAACGAGTGTTTTCTGCAGATTACTTTTGCAAACACAAAAAGACTATACCAAAGCAGCGGAATTTTCGAAGTGTTGGCGAGTTGGACCTAAACTCGTTGAAGCAAATTCTTCCGCCTGACTGTTCCACCAAAGTGAGTGCGACGGACTAC